TCTCTCTCTCTCTCTCCTCTCTCTCTCTCCGACTCAGCTCTCTCTTTCTCTCTCTCACTCACTCTCCCTTTTGCACACGCCCGAGTTTCCTCGTCCGCCCGCGAGTACGCGGGTGACGAGAGATCGTTTCCTCGACGGAACTCCGCACGGAACGTCTCCTGGAACGTCCTGCAATAATGGCTCCTGGAAAGTGGCTCGTTAAAAAGTCCTGCGACGAAATGGGGGCTCCCCTCGGGAATCGCTCGGTCGCCGTCGACGATTCTCGACGCAGTCGCAGTTTCGCTTCGCCGTCGTGAAAAATGGAGAGAAATTAGTTACTTAATGATATATATATATATGTATATCTCTATGGATGATGTTTACGTGTGGAAAGAAGCCGATGCAAATCGACGAGCGAACGATCGATGTTATTGGCGGTGTTGCGCACGATTTCCTCGTATGCACTTTGCTCATATAAACGTGTTGAATAATTGAAAGTTGCCTGCTGCTGACCGACTGCGACGACGCGGTCCATATAATGTCATCGGGAATTTCACTAGTAGATATCGTGAAAGATACTCTCATCTCTTATTACGTCGCTGATGTAACATATTTCTGATTAATTGATTTATGTCTCAATTAAAATTCGTCACGCGGTAAATATCAATTCTATTTCACAATCGTTAAGATCTTAAGCTTCTAAATAAGTGAAATCATGTGGAGCGTCATTTATTCTCGTGATGGAATAAGAGGATAAGGTGTCTCCAATGTGATTTCGAGCTTGTTATTAAGGTGAATATCCGCGACAAGAACAAATGGAGTATCGGTCACGTAGCGAGTTTCTCGTTTTCTCAATCGGCGAACGGTGAAGGGTCGCGGTGCGACCGACCGTTCTGGAATTGCTTCGAGCCGCTCGTAATAACGTCTTTTTGCTAGGAAAGTGGATAACGGTGACAGCGGCCATTGGAAACGGTAACTCGATTTTCGCATGATTGCATCTGTCGCGCCGACGAAAAACCGGTTCCGCAGATATAGACGTTGTAAAGGAAAAACCAGTCGCCGCGTGATGTTTATGCGCGACACCGTTATTGTTCCACGCGTTTCCACGCGACGCACAACACGAGCGATCGTCCGATTTTACGTCTCGGAAAACAAACCTTACATCCAACACATAATAATGATTTCTCATAATATCACGCATTTTATTTACAGTTAATTTATTAACACCTAATGGAAGAGATATTTTTTTTTAATAAAAATTTGATACAATTTAGATGTATTTTCATTAAATTATAATTAAATACAATTTAATAAAGATAATAATAATTTAATCGAGATACAGTAACTGAAAATAAGAAGCAAAATTATAATTTTATAGAATTAAATGCACGTCGCGATAGAGAAAAAAAATGTGTTGTAATACGTGTGATTTCCGTCAATACTAACTTTTGCAGAAGATATTTCTTTAACGGCAACGAGATTTAAAACAAAAATTAAAAGCGCCACGGAAATAAAACCTTTTGTCCGAGGAGGGGGGGGAACACTCGGGAGATTTTTCTCCACCCACATGCTAAATGGTGCTGGAAAATGTTATATCGACCTTATATTGATGGCATATTGTCGCCAATATGCTGATCAACATACTGTCAACATGCGATCTTGAACGTCATTTGGCCGTCTAGGTGAGTAGTAGATCTCTATAAAAGAGAGATTGGTTTATATTTTCACCTCACAACCGCAGCGCCTCTAGCAAACCCCTTTCTGATTCTCATATAAATATTATCTTATTATCCTCAAAACACTATCGGAAAACGTTGTTATACTTTGATGCGCATTCTAGCGGTACAACACGACATTTCGTTTAACTTTAACAATTAAATCGCGTTCTGATTATTGAATACTTAATATTGAGTTACTTTCGGTCGATCATTAATTTCAAATTTTTTTAGAAGAAAAAAGCATTAAGAAGGATTTGAAGAGGAAAAAAAAACTACATCAATTTAGAAATATGCATAAGTATTTCTTCGTGACAGCGATTAGATTGATCAGGCCGCGAGCGATATTCGTAGGCACGGTAAAGTAGTCGTTACGTCTATTATCGTTAATTTCTTGTTTTTCCGGCCAATTTTCCGCAATATTTCGCTATAGTCGCACATATATGAAATCGCGGATCCGCGTGGACTTTAATCAAGGACACCGGTTCCGTTCGAGAATCTTGTCTGAGGTAATTCTATCGCGAGATACTCGATCGTGCCTAGGTCAGGAACCTTGGAATAGTAACCAGGTGGTGTGGCGGCGGTTAAAGGCAATTCGGTGGCTCACTTTCACCCGCCGTTTGCAGTTAGATGCAAGACCTTGCGGTTGCTCGCCCGTTACTGGAATATCAAGTGTATTCGTGATTGATCGTCGCGGTGCGACGTTATCAACGCGATCGCGAAGCTTTCTTTAGCTTCCTCGTTCTCGGCAGCGTCGTTTCTCGGCTGGTGAGCGCGGTGCCGATCTCCATGGCTTTTTCACACGGCGTTACTAAAGACAGGTTTTTTTTTTTTTCTAGATCTCTCGATCTACCGCGGACTCACCCTGATAATGTCGAAGATGAAGTTGCCCGATCCAGCACCGCCGCCGGCACCGCCGCCTAAACCAAAGAGGAATCTCTTGTTTCTGTTCTCGTCCTCGTTCGTCTCAACTTCGTCCAATGGCGTCAGCTCCTGCGGCGAATTGTCGTTCGACACCTCGTCCGCGAATTGCACCCGCACTTCGTTGTTCTGCGATTCCGATCCGATCTCGTTCACTCGATTCTCCGATTCCGGGTTCACGTCCTGTAAAAGAAAACGGCTCATGGCTGACAGAGATCCTACGATAAATCAGTGCGATATTTTGCAAATACTTTCCCAGAACGAATAAAGGATAATTTATTCGTTTCGTCACTTTACATGTGCATATCGCGTAAGCGTAAGCAACGCTCGTGATGTAAAAATATATATACCTGACACTGATTGTTAATATCTTGTTATTAATCAAGAGATCATCGTTGATTACTTTGACAAAAAGAATGCACAAAAAAACACGATCGCAAATAAGTGGGTCACCTGCATAATCCCAGGGACTGTAAAGTGCGCTTAGGTTCATGTAATATTCCAGCAAATTATCTTATAAATTATTCATGACGTATATATGACTTCCGACGCATAAATTTCATTATTCTTTGATCGGGTTTTTTCGTGCACTTGAGCTAAAGCAAGTATAATTAATATTACATTTAAAGTTTAAAATTTTTCAGAACAGTTGTAGATTATGATTTTATAAAAGGATATAAAAATAAAAATAGCATGCGTATTACGAAAACAAATGGGACAGATATACGTAAGTTTGCATAGTCAGAAGCAACGTTAATAAAAATGTTTTAAACAAAATGTTTTAATGTATTATTTATGTTAGATTATACATGACACTGTCATATAATCGCCAATGATTCATCGAACAAAAACAAAGCTGATTATTGGATCATTGATTACTGATAATTTGCAAAGAGATTGCTCGAGTCTTATGTCTTTGCAATAATATCTTGTATTGTACTTGTAAGAGATGTATGAGATTTTTAAAAAATGTGTTTCTCAAGAGTATTATAAACGCGCTAGACTGATTTATCCTGCAATAGCTAATGACTATAAAATGATTAACGTATTAAAAATAAAGATGACAGAGCGAAAGGACGAAGAAGATTGTTTGGTAAAAGGATCATTTCGAGATGCGTTTCAGAATTCGAGAATCACAGTGATTTCGCACTTGAAATGGTCTCAGCGTCACGCGTAAACGCGCGAGACTAAACATTAAAATCTGATCTTGAAATTTATGCCAGAGTTAAATGACGAAGAAGTGAGAGCTTTGGATAGACACAGTATAGTTTTTTGAATGATTTTACGAGGCATGAGTTGCAGACGAGGATCACGAACAGATAATTGAAATAACGAGATGAAAAGAACCCAGATACCAAATAGAATAAAATTTTTCGGTGTAATTCTGATAGAGTAAGATCGCAATGATGGATATCGTGGCGACGGATAAGTTGCAATACAACGTTATTAATCGATTTATTAATGGCTAGATAAATAGCAGACACGAGGACGAAACAACAATAATTAGCAATGTACGAGAAACCGTGTGCAACCGCGGCAGTCCTGGTTGCGCGGTAACTTAGCGGTCGTTAGATCCTTCGAGATCTGAGCTGGTCGATCGAACGGCCGATCGATATGATTTCTCGAGTAGCCAGTAAGTAATTAGCACATAAAATAGACAGCGCAGTGCCGCAGCAGTCCTGAATGCGCGGTAAGGCATTCTGCAAGGCGTTCTGCATTCCTCGTGAGGATTCCTCAAGGTCATGACCTCGAAACTTTTACCGAGCTGCTGGTCAAACAGTCACTGCGAAGTGGTGACCTCGTTTTCCGTCAGTGACGGTGTTGTCGTTGGTGTCGCTATAGTGGTTGTCGTAGCATTAAAGTTGTCTCTGCTCTCTATCGTCGTTATTGAGGACGAAGTGGTGGAAGAAGAGGTTTCCACGTCATCTGGCGGAAACGTCGGTAAAGAGATCGACACTTTGGAACCGTTTAAACCGATTGTTGACGTCGACTCGGCATTATCCTCGTCATCATCGTCGAAGGGCGACTTGCCCTCAACGCTTGTGCCGTCCTCATCCCTCTGGACACCTTGGGTATTGCCGCCGCCGCCAAGAACATTGCGAAGGATGACCGGACCAAGGACGCGAATGACTTCCGCGATAATAGAGTTGACTTTCGCTTCGATTCTCTAGAAAACAACAGGCCTTAGCTGGAGAACTTCTTATCGCTATCGCTATCATAGCGCTAGCTCGATTCTCCTTCTTTTTTATTCAAGGGCTTCAAGACATCGCTTTGCTTTGCGATCGTGATCGGTGGATGGTATGATATCGATCAGTCCACACGGCACAGTGATCGTTGATTTACGTTTTTCTATGAATGATGCGGACTTACAAGTCGTTTCCCGGCCTGTTCGAGGATCTTTTCGAATATCCGAAACCAATCGTCCGTCTAATAATAAATATTCGTGCGATTGGTCAATGCCGTACTTAAGTATGACTGATTTGTTACCACTTGTTATTGCATTATATCTCTTATTACTGCTTCATTTCGAAGGCGCTACAAGTCAGGTGAGAAATCAGGTTCGTCGCTCTTATATAATATAAACGGCGCTCGGTGAGGCAGGCATTTCAGCGAGATTCGAGAACGAGGCCTACTTTAAATATAAAGACAGAATTAAGAACACCCGGTTCCCTGTCGAAATGCAGTTATTCCGTAATCTCGTAACCCGAGAGGGACCTGCACTTCGTGCGATCGTAGTCGATTGTCCAATCACTCGAGGACCGTGCGCCGGAAGAAATTTCGACATTCCTTCACGAACGATCCTCCGGTTTCGCGCAAATCGCGGCCTCGCGGCAATGCGGAATAACTAACTGACGTTATTCTACAAGAAGGTAAGTTCGAAATTATTAATTCAATCGCCATTGTCGTGCATGTGCACGCACATGCAACCGCATGCAAAAGAAGCCGGCGTCGCCGGCCAACACCGAGGAAGCCGTTCGCTAACGAGACAAAAAAGTCGCACAGCATATTATTAGTCAAATTAGGAAGTTTATTCGTGGACAATTCAAATGGGCAGCGCGGTCAGAAGGAATTTCACACGCAAGAAGGAAACTTTCCCGAGTATGTTTATTTCTTATAGGTACGGAGTCTCTTTTACCGTCGGTGATTACTTCGCACTGCGCAATTTTTGCGTTCAGAACTAATGGAATTTTCCCTAACGAAATTGCGTGGAGATCCCGTGAAAATTTCCATTGTGTAACTCGCGCAACGAGATCGAGCGAAGGGTCTCAGAAAAAGGGGGAACAGAAACTCGAGAAACCACACATGGGTAACAATAAGGATCGACGAGACGTGCGATTATTCTTTTTGCAAGCGCGAACATGACATGAAATCGCTTCCGCTCTTTTGATGCGGAATAAACCCGACGAGATCGAGACAAATCGATCCATACGTGAGCGTACGAGAGCGAGTGAGCAAAGGGTAAGTTGGCTGGTGTTGGCCGCCTCGCAAATTGTATGCGTTACTTTCTCGGTAAGAATGTAAGGCTGAGCGTATTCAGCGTTCTACTGTACTGTTTTACGGCACAGATCTGCAAAGATCGACGCAAGCAAAATCCTAATCGGGCGAGTGTCAAAAAGTTCTTAGTGCGCCTCAGCCCGAGTGCGAATCGCTCAAGGATGTCGTACTGCTCCTTGATAGTGTTGTTCGAGCGAGCGTATATAATCTGCGATGATAATTTATGTACAGTCTCGCCTCTACGAAACGCCGCTCGTGTCGGCGTCGTGTGTCAGTGTTAGTCCTGGCCTTCTGCAGGATTTCTCTGACTGATTGAATTCGCGTATCACGACTGCTCACCTGAGAAATATCGGGGAAGAGCTGTCGTAGAATGCCGATCGTCCTTTTGCTCCTCAGGGCCGCCTCGCTGTCGGCTTCGGCCATCACCAGCCGATCGAGGGCCTGAAAGAAAGTTTCCTCCTGTTGGCCCTGCCGTACGACAGCAATAAATCGGATCTTTACGACAGCGACGAGATGATAGCCTTTCAGCCGATGATCAGCGGGATATTAAGCATACGATCGGTACACTCGCGTAGAATTTCAAATTGCTGATCGAGACTACGCATTTACTACGGATTAATAAGCCAATGTTTTGCTACTGTGAGAAAATGTCTATCTACTCAAAGTAAGCGGTTTCGCGCATTTCTATTACACAAGAATTTCCAAGTATGCAAAAACTAAGATCTCTCAACCTACGGAATACTGGAGTAATAGTACGAGTAGTGTCTCGAAGTGAAGTGTTAGACAACGTTTGATTTACGATATGATGGACGCGAAGAAGTCTCTTTTGTTAAGGTCATTTGTGCATCGTGTTCTTGTCAGAGGTGACGTTAAAATATTCGCGAAGCGTATTTGCGCGAAGTAACGACGAATAAGGAAGTATCGCGATGGACAATTTTTCCACTCTGAAAATGGACGGTAAAGGAATTTGGTGCGTTTGAGAATATTATTGTGAGAAGGTAATTTGTGTTGTGTAATGTTCTTCGTGTTAGATGCCAAGCAAGGATTATCATTAATTCAGCGCCACTGTCGAACGAAATTGTTCGGTTACCCCACAATTTACTTCGCACAAGTGTGATAATCAGTCATCGTAAATTCGGATTTGAGTATCGCGATTCAAATTCTTGCGAGAAGTATATCCTTGAACGTTCATTTAAATTCGTAAAGGTTGAATATGTATACATTAAAGAAATATGTAAATAAAATTTCTGGCTTATTTATAGTTAGTTAATTCAGTTATGAAATCATCAACATTTTGGCTATATCTATTTTATTGGAGGACAACTTGTGACAAGGCAATTCAATTCCAACGGTGCGTATTTTATATTAAATTTAACGCTGATGGAAGTAGATTGGCCAATGGACGACCACCGAATCCAGATGTTGCTCAATCGGAGTACTATGGTATACTTTCCCTCAAACCTCGTTTCACATTCATGTGGTCACCGTAATACTCGTCTCTCCCAATTTTGACCAAGAAATTTTGCTTGTTAAATTTGTTTCGACGTATTTAAAAATATAATCTTAAGAATAAATAGGAAAAATGATATATAATTTACTGTATAATAACGTTATGTTTTTTCACATAATATTTTTCAATGTTTTTTATTTATTTATTTATCTAATAATACTCTGAACCAAAATTTTATTTCTATCTTTTTTTGCTAAAATATTTATAGATTCTAAAGAATTGTAGTAGATTTAATTTGTATGAAAATTGAACTTTTACTTTGCGTTTGAAAAAATTAATAAATGATATAATAAAAGGTCAACTGTAATTATACTTTCATTTTTTCGAGATTTAAAAGAGGAAGTTTCCGATTATCCCCAATAAAATTTTACGATTCTAATTAAGCTATATAATATCAGAAAAGGTCATTTTATTTATTTAAATGATTATATAAAAATAAATTAAAATTGAAAGAACCAGAAAAATTTTCTTAATTCCGGATATATCCGGATTTAAGTATGTAAATCTAAAGAATTTTTTATAAGTTTTGAATAAACCATTCGCATACTTCGTATTCGTCTGCCCACTTGTATATTCGTATTTATTTATTTATATTATCTTAATGCTCATGATATCTCCTATGATATCTCTTGCCTGTGCTCGCTACAAAAATGCAGATTGAGCGTGCAGCCGGCGATTTGTTTGTACACAGTGCCTCGTATATCACACCGTGTTGTTAAATTGCACTTGTGCGTACGCACCAGCTTTCCATCGGGCGCCTATCGAACGAAGAAAGTGTCCGGTAACTTCGCCAGTGTTCGCGGCCAGTGAAAGTGTCGGAGCGAGGACGAGAGCCGGTCGGACGACCCGGCTTTTCGTCGGACCGTATACTTTGAGGGTTATACCGTCTATTTTACGGCCGCATAACCGAAACATTGAACTCGTCGCGACGGTGCGGTGCCTCGTACCCGGGCATTATCCGCCAAGTGTTTTCCGAACGAATAACTCCCTTTTGTACTTTACTCACTGTCACGTAACCGTCCGGCCGCTCTTCCGCCGTATTTACGCGCGCATACGCGACGTATTGCGAATCGTATCGCGGCATTACGTAAAGCCATGGTAATTATAAATAAATTACGCGGTGAACGCTAAATTCAAGTAGCGGCTATGAGAGAAAAGCAAGCTCTTCGGGTAACAGCTATGATTTCCGAAGTCATATAATAACGTAACGGCGATCGTAATACCGCGCGCGACGCCACGTTTTCGAAGAATTACAGAACAGCTTCCGGTGACGTGTTACGGATAATATTTCAAGAATTTCTATTATGTATTTCGATGTATGGTAGCATCATCTTATGTAAATTTGATTGGCTTCATCAGAGTAGTGTTTTCGCGGTAAGGCGCATTTACTGTTGAGAACAATAAATCTGTTCCGTGTTTGCCGACGTTTTCGAGAACCATGTCGTTAAATAAACAAATTTTTGTCTGCGGTTCCATAAACCGCAGATACGTAGTGCTGTAAAATATCAATCGCGCGATGATTTTTCCCGCCGTTTTGTTCGCACTAATCTCGACTAGAAGCAACATTGTTCGAGTGAAAGACTCGTTGAAAGTAAAATATCACCTTCGACCATCGGAATTGGTCGATTTGGTAGAACGATCGAGGATTTAACGCTCTCAGACCAATACGTAACTGAACTTTCGCGTTCGAGAGTGAATCATTTTGTTTTATCATCCATATCGTTTAAATAATTAATAACCACTCGTAATTTCTATACGTCGATTCAGAGAAATTCTCTGCGACAAATATTTTCTGCAAATCAGATACTTTCTCCTTAATCGATATGGGAAAGAAATGAAGATAAGACCAGTGAAGAAGTGTGTGAAGATTAATGGAAGAGATTAATGGAAAACGGTTGAAATTACGACCCAATGACCCGGTGAAGATTATCATAATCGTCATGCACGCGATTTTTACATAGGTACTACATCGAACTCTGTCGAAGCGCTCATATATTGCCAATTGCGAAACAGCCAATAACATAATTTCACGCTATTGTCACGCTTGAAATTCGATCGAGAATTCTGTTAGTTGCGTGCCACGTGCCGTTTGCGTTAGATAATTAAGCGATAATGCACGGAAGGAGTGACCGTTAATGTCGCGAATTAATCTCCGCAAAATAGAATGGCGATGGTTAAAAGAGAAAGGCACGAAGATGCACCGCTCACGTGCTTACCTCTGATCGGAGTCCGTCTTCCGGAAGCGGATGCGAGCTCACTAATGCGAGGCAGAGCGCAGCCGTCAGCGAAAGAATGGTAAATCTCATCTTGATCGTGTAGATAGAGTCTGCGAAAATAAAGTATTGCATTAAACGTACAGTATTCGCGATTACGGCGGCAGTTAGTGCTCATTAACGCGTCGTGTGCGGATCGTATTTTCTCACGATTTTTTTCACACTCCACGCGATGCTTAGATCTATATCGCTTAGATCCATGTGCTCGCGATTGAATACAGATTTCTCGAAGATGAATTTCTTGTAATTACATTTATTTTTATCTCTCTCATGTCCATTTTTATCATTAATTAATTTTAATCTCGATTTAATTTTATCCTTCTACCTCTTTTTATTTCTAAGAATTAGAAAAGTATTAGTAATTAGTAAGTAAAGTAATTAGTAAAAACTAAATGAAACTGAGATTGTAATCAATTTACGTTGATAAGAATAGACATTATATGAGCCTCGAGACTGTGTTAGAAATACCATTCACTCGAGGCACACGCGACATAAAAATAAATATTTAGATGTAAATAATTTATTTATTATTTATTAGATATAAATAAATATTCAGATATAATGCGCGCATGATGAAAGTATGAAAGATTTTTTTATAGATTATAATTCTTCTTCTTACTTATCA